ATTGCCCAGGCCTAATACAAACAGACTTCTCTTGATTCTACAGAAAAAGTAAAATAAATCTGTGAAATAACTAATCACACACAAACTGAACCATGATACTAATGACCAATGCTGTACTGTTGCAATTATAACATCCATCTTAACACAAAATGTTAAAGAATTTCAAATGTTTTAAATGTATGTTGTAAAAAACATTAAAAACTGAATGATAGTGATTTTTCTGTGGACTGTCTTTAAGTGTGTAAGCGTAGAGTTAAGCTCTTGATGTATTCACTCACTCACTCAAACGTGTATAACAAACAATCATTCTGCTATGATCATACAATAAATAAAGTTTTTGCTAAATTACCTTGCATTGATTGCAAATAACCTCTTATCACTTGCATAACATTTACATATTATTTCTATGTTATAGTGTACACAGAACCAATATGCTTACTGTACTTCCACTATGGTACATCTAGTGGCCAGTATTGCGATGATCGAACGTACACAACCTTCTGCTTTTATCCAATAGATAAACAAGGATCCAAAAATCCCAACTACTGTTCTGCAGCCACACGTCAATTTTATATGCCCGGACGCGCGCACACACACAAATATAAAAAGGTAAAGCAGCATACTATGAACACTAGTACATAGTTAATATTCTACAGTGTGAAACTGAACCAGTTTGTGTCTCTCCAACGTTACCATTTGCGCTGCACTCCACACTTAACATTTACTTTAACACAACAAAACATATTGAGCATATTGTACGCCGTTCGAGGGTATGAGAAGGCAACGTAAGGGCTGAAATCAAGCTGTCAAACACGATTCTACTGTAGGGCTTGGATTGTTGTTTTCGCCTCTGTGCTCCGCCGCCATTTTCTAGCAGGGCAAGTCAGAGGAGGACATGTTGGGAGCTCTACACAACAAAAGAGGAGCGGCCATTTCCAACCACATACTTGCTTTTTCCTCAACCCTGACAACTGTAATTGACGATAAAAGTGCACATAAGGCATCTAAACAGGACTGTTAGAAAGAAACCTAAGATGTAACGTGAAAGCAACAATTTTAAGCGTGTGCACCAAATACATCGACACTAGAATAGACTAGATAAGGTTAGGCAGATTAGAAGGCCTGGTCGCAAACAAGGTTGCTACCATTTAGTTGAGTTTTCTACGCAAACTCTACCACACTCATACAGGCAAACGATTAAATATAATAACAATTTGTCCCTGCATTGCCAGTTACACAGGACGATGTAAAAATAATTCCCTTTACCTGATGTGTGGAATCCCGACACCACCTTGTAGGATTTTGTACAGCTTGCTTTCGTATAACAACTGTGGATGTCTGGCTTTTTGTGACTCCAATTTTACAGCTACCTCCTGAAAATGACACAAAGATACCATTAATATTTACAGCTCTCTTGTGACTACGCGAGTTACAGTAACGACACATTTCTGGACACATGCTGTTAGCTAGACAATGCAAATGAATACATTGTGTAGCTGCTTTAGCCAAATCAATTTAACAACTTGATGACTGTAACGTTAGCCTGCTAACTTATGAAGCTATGTTGCAATCTGCCTCAAATATCGGTTTCGAACTTTTCCACTATAACATAGACGAAGATGCAGTGAATTACCTCTCCATTTGTGATGTTGATGGCCAGGTATATGTCACCGAAAGATCCCGATCCAATTTTTCTGACAAGCTTGTATTTTCCACCGACTATGAATTCGGCTTTGGAGCCACTGCTGCTTGCCATAGTGTCCACCAAATGACAATCGCCACCTGATTATCTTTAGGAAATTCTGTGTGGCAGCCCAGTTGTCAGCAATTGTTGTTGATGAGAGTAATTATGGATTTACGTTAGCTGTTACTCCACACAATATTTTCGACAACTAACATTAACGTAACAACCAAGTTGGAAAATAGATTTCTCCTGTCGTAATTCGCTTTATTCATAGGCTACCGGCTACAATGGATCTTCGTTCAATAAAAACCTCCTCACGGAATGCCGTGCCAATATCGAATTATATAACGTTACATCCAAAACTAAATCCGAAAAGCTGACGGCCTTCAACAACCACCGAGCTACCTCGAAGTAGCAGCTAGTGAAATCTAGCGTTAGCTAACGTTAGCATCAAGCTAACGTTGTCGCAAGGACCGCCACGGAAAAAATGTCCAGACCTCCTCCGTGTTGAGGGGCAAAAACTGACTGTTTAATTACACTTCCGATGGTGTTGTTGCTTCTTCAATCTTTTCAGTCCTTTAAGAGCGTTTTCGACAAACTTCAAGGGTCGCAACCGTCTGTACAAAGCGCAGCCCACTCACTCCGCCATCTTGTCTTCTATACCCTTTCTCTCAGCTGGTTTCCGTTGGAGGCGATTAGCTAAGGTTAGACATCTCATGACCCCTTCAGGTGCTATCGGACATAATAGAATCAAGTCTCATGCCATACCTGAACGCCGCAAATGTGATAAATATTGGAAAAGGACTGGTGTTCTATATGATCCACACAATGTACCCAGTCAACAGCTGCAAATGTAATCGTTAATATAAGTTAAGTTAATAAAAACATTCATTTATTATGGAATATCTTTTGATTAATAGAATGCTTATTTATGCTGAAGCATCCATTGCATATATCTTGATTTTTAACTTCTGTGCACCTGTGCGTCTTTTTGGCCTAGATTTCAAATATATAAACGAAGTAACCATTGAAGCTTCTGGGCACTCTGTAATTATTTGTATAAATCTACACTGCCGGGATCTTTTATTCCTCAACAATTATATCGTAATCTGGATTTTATTAAACACAATTACCAATGATGACAATGGCATTTTTTGCA